TGCATGTGCGCGGTTATTGGCAAGTGGACTGAGACTATCAACTCACGACTACCCTTGAGAACGATATGTACGTATGTATGTTGACCTTCTTTCGTAGGCAACCGTGCTAATCGGATGTGCGGGGCGGGGGGGGTCAACGACAACAAACTAAATTTCGATTTAAAGCTTTCGTGACTGCAAGGATTCGTCTTCTTTGGTTCTTTCGGTAAAGTCACCACGTAGAATGAGAAAAAAATAATAAATTGATAAAATAAAATAACGCAATAATATTCTCACGACGTTTCGGCCACACAGCTTAAAGGTCGCGATCTGAGCGTGGCTTTTTCACTCCAGCGCTGTCATCCAGACAGTCTCGTCCCTTCACCTGATGAAGGCCGCTTGTGTTGTGGCCGAAACGTCGTGAGAATATTATTGTGTTATTTTATTTTATCAATTTATTATTTTATTCTCATTCTACGTGACTTTACCGAAAGAACCAAAGAAGACAACAAACTAAACACAAAAAGGCTGTTCTAAAGATGTGAGTTTTACAATCAGAACCGTGTGTTAATCACAGGCAGTGGCCGAGACCTGGATTCAAACCCAGGTGTCTCAGTGGTGTCGGCTCAAGTGCTGACCGCCGGGTCTTCTGTGCATAACATCTCATCTGGACACAGCGATGACATTTTACAGCCCACCAATTCATCCGAACACAATTTGCTAACGCCTCACCTTGGACTTATAGTGTCAAACATTTGTCACGAGGCCAATGGATGTGGTCCTATTGCCAACAAATATTTATTGTTTTATTTATTGGTGGGGCCAGTGGCAACCTGTACCGTTAAAACAATAAAACGGAACGATAAAATGTAAGCAGTTCATCCTTTAACACCGACTAACATGCAAATCACATTTTCCTATTGCTTGTCACCTTTCAAGGTCACGGGAATAAGAAAAATAGGTATATGATCTTTCACTTCTGTGTTCTGCTGCTGACCTGGCAGTCAGGCCAGTGGGGGAGCGCTGCGCTACGAACCCGGCGTCCCGAGTTAGGATCCCGCATGCGGCCACCAACACCAGTGACGATTATCTGAACCGGTCCTGGGCCTCCTTCTAGATCGACTCAGCCTCAAAAGCATCACCACTGTGGAGACAAAGGCGGCCGGGCGTGGTTGCCGGCCCACCCACCCCCCAAATCGTGCGCCGTGCCGCCCTTCGTAGGTGCTCGCTCAGCAGCACTTGCCCCAACAGTCTGTTCAGGCTATACGGGGGATCTTTGTCTTAGCATGACCCACGACTTCATTTCACACGGCACCTCGGCCACATCAGGGCGCCACTGCTCCAGTACTGCGAGCCATGCTAATCGGGTGCTCGAGGAGGGGAATACTTTGACCTGGTTAACACTGTGGTTTTGTCATTTTTGCGACATCAACCACTCCAACAAATGTTTCGGTTAACCCAAAGCTTAGTGAACGCATCACGGTTCAAAACAGACTTTTATGGTTCGGTTCTGGTTCACTATATGATTTTTTTTAAAGCGGTTTAAACAGGTTAAACTTACGTGAAAGAGTTCGTGCATAACCAGTTAATGGCATTACCCAATACAGAACATAGTACCAGTTAATATAATTACACAATGCAGTACACAATACTCAATTAATGCAGTACATACCCACTTAATGGCATGACACAATGCAGTACATAATACCCAGCTAATAGCATTACACAATTCAGTACGCAATACCCAGTTACTGCAGTACACAACGCAGTCCGTACACAATATGAAAGCAATGCAGTACACAATGCAGTACACAGACCCCTGCTCAGCGGAGTATGGAATCTACAGTGACGATTATTTATGTTGAACTTCTTTCGCACCCTACGTAGCCAACCGTGCTAATCGGAGATGCGGAGTGGCGGCCAAGGGATGAGAACCCGTCTTCCGGGAGGACGTCCATCGAGGAGATGTGATCGAGCAACGATATCAGCTCGCGAGAAGGCGCTGGGTAGATTACAGTTCAATTACAGGACCTTCGGAGATGGTTGCAGCGTTGGGCAGGCCTTCATCCAACAGTGGATTGACTATGGTCGAGGATGTTTTTGCCCAGAGGTAAAGTGATTGCCATTATCAATGTGTCGGTGATCATGCGTCTACGTTTCAGTGTGTTAGTAATTTGCTTTGTCAGTGTGTTGGTAATTACCACGTGATGTGTTGTCAGTGTGGTGGTGGTGGTTATGGCTGTGGGGTGGTCATCATATACTTTGGGTGCCACGGTGGCTAGGAGATGTTAACTACCTCGCCTGGTATGCAGGAGGTCATGGGTTCGATCCCGATCCCGACACCTGTATATTTGGAAATTGCAAGTCTCTCTCCCCGTGGTCGCGTGGATTTTTCTCCGGGTTCTCCGGGTTTTTCCTCCACATTTAGAAATGCACATTTAGAGTATTTGGCTGCTATAAATTTCCACATCATAAGCCACTTCTTGGAATTATCCCACGGTGGATTGACTAAGGCCGATGATTTTACCGGTAAGTCAATGATGTTTTGGGCTCGAGGTAGAACACTGCACTGTGGTATCTCCTATTGCAGGCAAGCCAACTCGCGACATATGACCTCGCTGCGTGAGTTCATCCACTCACTCCAAGCTGCTCTTTGCTGCTAATGCTGTTGATGCGACTGCTGTTGTTGCTGATGCTGTCGCCAATCTGTCCTCTATTCCTCGCGTCCTTGCGTTATGTATGCTCCGCCGCACTGATCGTGCGATATAATCAGCCACCTGTTCATACCCCCATCTCTTCATGGAGAAATCAATCACAGCTCATGCCGGACAGGACAATTGGAGGCGGCGCATGCACCTCCTGCCATATTCTAAGTTCATAAGCCTCAGCTCGTAGGCAGTGGTTGTTTAATTAGCCCACCGTAAGCCTCAGTCTTTGACTGCGTAACGGTCAACACCACCACCACCATCATCTCCATCCTGCCGGCGGTGATGAGTATAAACCCATTATTGTGGCAGTGGTTAGCGCTCCGTGCTATGAACCTGAGAGATTCCCAGACATAACTGGCAAGTCACATCTGAACCAGTCTTGGTCTCCCCCATCATTTAATAAAAAATGACAAATATCCCCCGTATAGCCTGAACAGACTGTTGGGGCAAGTGCTGTTAGCGAGCACCTATAAAAGCCGGGACGGCACACGCGGGGGTGGGTGGCCAACATTACGCCCGACCGCCTTTGTCTCCCCAGTGGTGATGTTTACACACCGCACCAGGTACCCATTTGAGGCTTAGTCGACCTAGGAGAGGCCCATGACCAGTTCAGATAATCGTCATTGGTGTTGGCCGTGAGCAGGAATGGAACATGGGTGGCCGGGTGCATCACGCAGCACGCTTACCGCTACACTACCGCTCCCACAAATACAAACACACTGAACAACCAGCGTGGTGAAGTATGGTCACACAATCCCATTCACACGTCATGCGGGGAAAGCCTTCATCCAGTCGTATATTTACAGAGGGCTGCAAAAGATTCTTAACTAAGAACAGCATTCCTGCTTGTAATGTACATGTAACATGAAGCAAACATCTAATTACACTACATCTACACGTCGCTTGAATTCCTGCATAACCAGGGCCCAACGGCACGGGCGATGTCTGGCCACCATATTTTCTTCAATCACTGTGCTCAGGGCCGGCAAAGATGCCCTGAATCTGGAGGGAGGGCGCGGTCAATGCTCTTCAGAAATCTGCGGATGATCCAGCAAATAGCCAACGGCCTTCATCGCTTCTGCTCACAACCTTCAAACTTCCAGATCCTGGGGAAAAAAAAAAAAAAATTCGGTCCCATTATCTAATACCAGCCTCCCGATGGAACCAGATGGGTTCATGCCACAAAAAAGTGGCTGCGATCGAGTCCTGACCTTTACAACGAAAATTGAAGCCAGATTTGAAAGGGGGAAAAAACTCAAAGGAGGTGACACATTCATCGATCTGTCTTCTAGCCCACGATTCGTTTTTGGAAGCAATGTCTCATACTGGAGCTGGACAGACTCCTGCCGTGCGCCCAACGCTGTGGCTCATCTGGAATATGCTACGTTAACGCTGTAGCTCTTTTTCAGAAGCCACGTGGCCACCACAAATGATAGCTCAACGAAGTTGGCTTATCACCATGTGGACATTTATCGTGAGCCAAAATACTCTGAAGGCGCGGCTTCGATTCTAAACGTTCGAGGTGTAAAACCGGAGGTACCTGGAGAAAAAAATCCACGCGAATAACGGGGATTACCCAAGGGGGGTCCCGTGCTCGAACTGATGCCGCTGTTCAACCGGCACGCGAGCCATGTGGCCCCCGGAAACATCGTCCCGCAAAAAAAAAAATTGCTACGCGGACGACGAGGCCCTGTGTGGCTACGCACGCACCCGCAGCCTCTCCGGCGGCGGTGGCGGTCACCGCCGACTCCGCACCCCAACTACATCGATTTGCCTCGGTTTGTTTCGTCTCGACGGCGCCGGCGTAACACGCACTCGACGATTGCCTTCTGCGGCGAAGTGGTGGAGATGCACAAACGGCTGACTATTCAAAAATAAAATAAAAAGACCTGCTCCATTGCTTTGTCAAGTGCCGTACGACAAAGGAGATTTATTTTCCTCTTTATTGCAATGAAGACCAGGAAGTGCGCCGCTTCAAAGGCTCACGACGAGAAACGTTTGTGTGGGAGGAAAAACCCCCCTCGTTTTACGTTTTCCCTTGAACCCGGGGTTTGTAGCCCAATCAAGATCCAGGCACGGCTCTCAACTCTTTGCTCATTGTTGTTTCCCCCCTCCCCCACCCCCACTTCAACCGAGCGTCAGGTTCAAGGTCAGCTTTGTTTGTATTCGCCCGAGGGAATTTTTTTTTATTTTGAACATAACAACTCACGTTTTTTTTATTGCTGGGAGTAAAGCGGCTCCAAATCAGAGCAACTGTCTCCCACCGCCCCCATGCCACCTGTCTCGTTTCTCACCACCTTGTCCCTCAACCAGCGCCCCTCGGGTTTATAAGGAGGCTGAGCTGCATCGGGAGATCTCACAAGACGGCTGAAGGTGGACGCCGAGCGACGATCTCCTGCAGCCAACGGACAGCCAACGACTGCCCCCATGGAAAAAGTCGTCAACTCTTCGGCTATGGAAGCCCCTCCGGTGAGTAGTCACTGGAACGCTCTTCCTTCCGGAATTTGGATTGAAAGCTAAATTTCTTTAGAACTGCTATCTTGCGTGTGCTTCGTATTCCCGCCACCCCCGCACCTCCGATTAGCATGGTTGGCTACGTACGGTGCAAAAAATAAAAGTTCGACATACATACACACATTCTCACAAGCTCGACCCTGACCCAGACCACCAATGTGTCTGCACATCCAACACAAATCTCCTCTTCATTCTCCTCCTCTTCCTATCCTTGTCTGTAAATCAAACACGAGTCAAATCGAGCACAATGTCCGAGATGGCTGGGTGGCTCGGGGGGCTATAGTGAGCAGAGTGCTCACTAGCTGAACTGGCATCACTGAGAATCCAGGTTTCAGCCACCTGTGATGAAAGCGGGGTCTCTAGTGTAGCAGTGGGTTGATGGTCTCAGTTCAGTCGCCAAATGACACGCACAAAAGAAACAACGTTCGATTTGGTTCCGCGCGTCATCTGTGACTACATTTCAGATTTTTAGATTTCAAATATATCGGGGTTCGCCTTTCATGCGACAGATTCCTCTCCATGGCAGAGCCAGTGGGAAGGTGCAAACGCCCCTCGTGTGAGGACCAGAGGCCGATCACTTGAAGGGACATCAGAGGGAGCTCTGTGATAGCCACACGTCGGATGACCAGTTCCCGAACATGAATATTTCCTTTTCTTTGTTCTTTCGGTAAAGTCACGTGGAAGGGAAATAAAAAAACGAATAAAAAATAAAACATTATAAAATTCTCACGACGTTTCAGCCACAACACAAGTAGCCTTCCATGAATGTTTCCCTTACACAAATGGGTGCGTTGCTCTGTGAGCTGCCGATAGCACCATCGGGATACAATTGAGGTGGGGAAGAATACTAAAGTAAATTAACACAGTACCCGCTGTGGTTAGTTTCTCTTTGTCCTGCGCTGTGTCAGCATGGTTGGTGATCGTGTTGTTTCATTGGGGTGCCACGTGGTGGCTAGGAGATGTTAACTACCTCGCCTGGTATGCAGGAGGCCGTGGGTTCGATCCCGACCCTGACGCCTGCATATGTGGAGTTTGCGGTGTCTCTCTCTCCCCGTGGTCGAGTGGATTTTTGTCCGGGTCCTCTGGTTTTCTCCTCCACACTTAGAATCAACGTGCGATCAGAGTATTTGTCTCGCTATAGATTTCCACGTGATAAGCCACTTCTTTGAGGTGTTATTTGCGACCAAGTCGCTTATGAAAAAAAAGCTTTACAGCTCAGTGGGCCTTACCTGGAAAAAAAAATTGTTTAGTTTTCATTAATAAAATAAATGATATGTGCTGTGTTGGTGTCGTGGTGGTGATCCTGTCTGTTGTGTCAGTACGATTGGTGGTTGTGTCACGCGCCGTGTCTGTGTTTGTTTCAGGCGTACCCAGCCCGGTCCAGGTTCAGCCGCAAGTTCATCATCATCTGCGCGTCGCTGCTGGTGCTGCTGATCGCGGTGGTGGTGGCGGGCGTCCTACTGGGAGTCTTCATCGGGGGCAAGAACGCGACCGAGGTGCGCGTGTTCGTGTGTTCGTGTGTTCGTGTGTTCGTGCCTGTGTGACGATTACCTGAACCGGCCACGAGCCTTCCCCCAGGTTGGCTCAGCCTCAAATGAGTAACCTGGTGCGGTGTGTAGTAGTAAACATCGCCACTGGGGAGACAAAAGCGGCCGGGCGTGGTGTTGGCCACCCACCCCTCGTGTGCCGTGCCGGCCCTCACAGGTGCTCGCTAACAGCACTTGCTCCTAAAAGGGGGATCTTTGTCTTTTTATTTGGGGAGCGGTGGTGCAGCGGTGAGTGCGCTGCGTTCCGAACCCGTCCCCCTGAGTTCCATTCCCAATCACGACAGCGGCGATTATCTGAACCGGTCCTGGCCCTTCCCGAGGTCGACTCAGCCTCAAATGAGTACCTGGTGCGGTGTGTAATCATCGCCACTTGCGAGACAAAGGCAGCCAAGGATGGTGCTGGGCCTTAATGGGTGCTCGCCAACAGCACTTGCCCCAAAAGGCTGTTAAGGCTCCACGGGGGATCTTTGTCTTTGCGTGGAGAGTAGCTCTACCAGCTGTCCGTGGGGGATAAGGACGGCAACGTTGAGGAGCAGACGGTGCAGGTGAACCCCAAGGAGAACGTCGCCACCTTCTACATCCAGAACGGCAACGTTTCCTCCACCACGCTCCTCGACTACGGCAAGGCGAGTCCACCACCACGCAGCAGCAGCAGCATTAACATCGTCATCATCATCTCGTTCACCTCCAGCAACCAACACCTCAACGACCTCAGACATCATCTCCGCCGACACCTCCGACACTACCTCGTTCACCGCCTTCACCGACTACCAGCGCGCAGCGACGATCTCTCGCCGACACTTCCCATACAAAGCCCACGTGCTTAATTCTGCATCGCCCACCGCCACTGCAGTCAATCCCGTCGCGAGCACCACGAGCTAGGTCCGCACGCTGCGCGGACAGCAACACCACCAACAACACCACCACCACCACCGCCGCCGCCGCTGCCGCCGCTACCCACTTTGATATATATATTTTTAAAAAAACTTTAACCCATGAAACTAAACTAGGTTTTACTTGACCAGGTAAGGCCCAACGAGCTCCGTAGCTGTCTCGTTTTTTTTTTAATCAGAAGTGACCTGGCCACAAATAATAGCCCAACGAAGTGGCTCATCGCGTGGAAATTTAGAGCAGCCAAATTAGACGAAACGCGTGATGTTGATTCTAAATGTGGAGGGAAAAACCGGAGGAGCTGGAGAAAAATCCACGCCACCAGGGGGAGAGAGAACATGCAAAACTCCAAATATACAGCAGCAGGTATCAGGCGTCAGGGTCGGGATCGAACCAACGACCTCCTGTATACCAGGCGAGGTAGTTAACATCTCGCGATGTGTGGCAGAAAATCACAACTGTGCTCCAAACAAAATGCACCCTCAAACCAAGTGCGCTGATGCCTACTTTACTGAGGGCAATGTTGGCACGTAAATTAAAGATTGATTTCTATAAAAAATATGATGTGAATGGTCATGGTGATGTTGACGATGTTGACGATGGGGATAATACTGATGATGACTGTGATGTTGGTGGTGATGATGATGATGATGTCGACGGTGATGTTGACATTTTGTAGAACCTCGTGGTGATGAGAACGAACGACCCGGGCGAGTGCTACGTGCGGGAAATTGGCGCCGGAGATTTCCCGTCGTTCTCCGAGCTAAGAGACAGCCTCAAGAATCTCAACGTGAGCACAACAACAACACGAACAACACCACAACAACAACAACAACAAGCGCCATTCTCCACTAAGTGGCGGTGATGCCACCACAGCGCTCATGCCAGGCCAGGCGTACTTCAAGGCCATGGGTTGACTGACTGAGATGAGATGGACAACGCAACCACCACCATCACGGCCACCACCGCCGACATCACAAATCCACTCACCACCACACTGTTGACCACGCACCATAGCACTGCTCATTATGTACACAGTGCTCACCACGTAACCCTCTCTGACACCCTGTCACCACAGCATACCTCTCACCACTCACCCTGCTTACCCCTCCTGCCCTCTCTAGCTTCATAAAAACAAGCACAAAGATCCCCCGTGTAGCCTTAACAGACTGCAGGGGCAAGTGCTGTTAGCGAGTAGCACCTATGAAGGCCGGAACGGCACACGAGGGGGTGGGTGGCCAGCACCACGCCCGGCCGCCTTAGTCTCCCCAGTGGCGATGTTTACGCACCGCACCAGGTACTCATTTGAGGCTGAGTCGACCTAGGCGTGGTCCACGACCGGTTCAAATAACCGGTCACTGGAGTTTGACGTGAAGCGAGAATCGAACTCGGGTCATGTTGGGTTCGTAGAGCAGCGCGCTAACCGCTGCACCACCGCTCACCCCCTGGCTTAATACAACACTCCTCACTCACTCCTCACTCACTCCTCACTCACTCACTCCTCACTCACTCACTCACTCCACACTCACTCCTCACTCACTCACTCACTCCTCACTCACTCCTCACCTCACTCCTCACTCACTCACTCACTCCTCACTCACTCACTCACTCCTCACTCACTCCTCACTCACTCACTCACTCCTCACTCACTCCTCACCTCACTCCTCACTCACTCACTCACTCCTCACTCACTCACTCACTCCACACTCACTCCTCACTCACTCACTCACTCCTCACTCACTCCTCACCTCACTCCTCACTCACTCACTCACTCCTCACTCACTCACTCACTCACTCCTCACTCACTCCTCACTCACTCCTCACTCACTCACTCCTCACTCACTCCTCACTCACTCCTCACTCACTCACTCACTCCTCACTCACTCCTCACTCACTCACTCACTCCTCACTCACTCCTCACTCACTCCTCACTCACTCACTCACTCTTCACTCACTCCTCACTCACTCCTCACTCACTCACTCACTCCTCACTCACTCACTCCTCACTCCTCACTCACTCCTCACTCACTCACTCCTCACTCACTCCTCAATCACTCACTCCTCACTCACTCCTCACTCACTCACTCCTCACTCACTCACTCTTCACTCACTCCTCACTCACTCCTCACTCACTCCTCACTCACTCACTCTTCACTCACTCCTCACTCACTCCTCACTCACTCACTCCTCACTCACTCACTCACTCCTCACTCACACTCACTCCTCACTCACTCCTCACTCACTCCTCACTCATTCCTCATTCACTCCTCACTCACTCACTCCTCACTCACTCCTCACTCACTCCTCACTCACTCGCACTCACTCCTCACTCACTCACTCCTCACTCACTCCTCACTCACTCACTCACTCCTCACTCACTCACTCCTCACTCACTCCTCACTCACTCACTCCTCACTCACTCCTCACTCACTCCTCACTCACTCACTCCTCACTCACTCCTCACTCCTCACTCACTCACTCCTCACTCACTCCTCACTCACTCACTCCTCACTCACTCACTCACTCCTCACTCACTCCTCACTCACTTCTCACTCACTCCTCACTCACTCACTCCTCACTCACTCCTCAATCACTCACTCCTCACTCACTCACTCACTCCTCACTCACTCACTCCTCACTCACTCCTCACTCACTCACTCCTCACTCACTCCTCACTCACTCCTCACTCACTCGTGCACAGAGGGCCCCGAGTGACGTCACCCGGCCCAACCGTCCATCCCCCAGGGTCCCACCTCAATTCCATTACCTCTGATCCAGACGGTGCAGGCACACATCATCCACTCTGTGGCAATCTCCCTCCCTCTGACCGCGGTTTCCCCTCTGTCCCTCTGCGTCGCTACCTGTACGCGACCTATCTCTCTGTCCACATGACTCAGAATCATAAAATGTATTACACTGGAGGAATCCGATGAGCTATAAAGCTCTTTTTCACAGATGTCCAGTTGGGTGCGCGGGAGAACGTTAACAACAACAAACAATAACGACAAAACGATGGAAGTGCGAAATATAGGAAAGGTAAAAAAATCACTTCCAAATATAAACACGTAAAATTAAACTATTTTATCTTACCAGGTAAGGCCCACTGAGCTAGCAGCATCTTTTTCAGCAGAAGTGACCTGGCCATAAATTATAGTTCAACGAAGTGGCTCGTCATGTGGAAATGTATAGCAGCAAAATAATCTCAATAATTTAAACGCATGTGGGCTGTTATGTTTCGCAATTTGTCTATTTCTTCATGGCTCCCTGTCTGTCTGCCTGCCTCTATATCCCTCTGTCTCTCTGTCTCCCTTTGTCTCTCTCTCTCTCTCTGCCTCTCTGAATCTCGTTTTATCCTCTCTTATTGCCTCTCCATCTCTGTGCATCTGTCCCTCCGTTTCCTCATTTCTCTATCGTCCTCCGTCATGTTACTCCAGCTGTGTGTGTGTTTTTTTTTAAGTGAGACAGAGTGAGACTGCGTTGCTTCTAAACAATGTGGCAGTTGGGATTCAGTGCGCATAAGGCGGACACGGGTCAGCTTCCAGATGAGCCACTAAACAAATTAGAATTAAAATTTAAAAAATGTCCACGCACTTGGTTGAGAGTGGAAATCGTCGGGGAGTACTCCGTGTGCCAGTGGACAGAGGAGGACAGGGCCTTGTCAGTGCGAGGGCTTCTCTCCAGTGGCGGTAGCGTGGTTGGCAAGGGACCCGGTGCAAGGAATGAAAGAGAGGTCGTTGACCCCTGTCCACCTCTTTGTAGCGGGCGTGGTAGAGCCGAGGAATCAGAACGTTGGCAGATGACGTCGCCGGTGGTGGTGCTGGTACCGTTAGTTTGTTGTCCTTCCCCTGCATCTCCGATTAGCACGGTTGGCTACGTACGGTGCGAAAGAAGCTCAACATACAAATACATACACAGTGACAGTGGTGGTGATAATTATTGATGGTGATGGTGTTGATGGTGGCGCTGGTTGTAGAGGTGTGAGCAGTGATAAGTGGTGACGCTATTGATGGCCGTAGTGGTGGTAATAGTAATGTTGACAGTGATAGCGATGATGGTGATGATGATGGTCATTGTGGCAATAGTTGCAGTGGTACTGCTGGTGGTGAAGGGAATGGTGATGGCGGTGCTGGTGGTGACTGGGGTGACAGTCGTAGTGGTGATGGTAATGGCGTTAGCCGTGATTGCAATAGTTTTGATCATTAACGCTGCTGATGATGGTGGTGGTGGTTGTTATGATATTCATGTGTGATGATTGATGGTGATATCGATGCGGATAGTGGTGATGATGATAAGTAAAGATGATGAAAGTGGTGGTGGTGGTTATTAACGATAGCGATGATTATATATGGTCAAGGTTACCGTACTAGTAGTAATCACGGTTGCGGTGTTGACTGAACTCGCAGGGTCAGACGGTGCAGGCCAGCGGCGGCTCAGATGGCTCCACGTTCTTCCCCGGTGCTGAGATCTTCGACCGATCCCTGTTCAGCCGCAGCGCCAACCTCCTCTGCCAGGACGTGAGATCGTTCTGGCTCGTCAAGGGCGGTGAGTACATCTCTGAGTACACAACCCAACGCAGGGGACAGAGCTGAGTACGGACGTTGGCAATGAGAACTCGGCACTGACTAGGGAACAATGCATGTCTAGGCTGCGCGTTCGGAGTGTTTCTAGCACACCATCACGCGAACCTCGATCATCCTCGCAGCAGATTTTGGCTAACCATCAAGCAAAGACGGTCACTGCATCGTGCACTTTCAGATGCAGCTTCTGCGACCATCTGGAATGCCCTTCCTTCCGATATTAGGAAACCGCTGGAGTTATGCACTTTTAAATCTAAATTGAAAACGAATTTATTTCGAACTGTTTTTTGGCGTTTAGTTTCCCCGCACCTCCCATTAGCACGGTTGGCTACGAACGGTGCGAAAGAGGTTCAACGTACAATACAAGGCTGATGTCTACTTTCTTGAAAGAAATACTTTACATTTATGTTCCGGTGAGCTGGTCAGGTATCTCAGAGGTCAAAGCTCAGAGTTGGCATCGATCGTTGAGATCCTGGGTTCGAATTCAGTGTTAATTGCCTCGTTTCGGCCACCCAATCTGCATGGTCTAATTGGCATGCGATGACCATTTATCTCTGTAGCAGCCGCCTGACGTAGCCAGGAGATGGCAGTACATCAATGGATTGTTAATTCTGTCACGCCATTCCAACAATGAAGATGATGACGATGACGGGATGATGGATCATAGTCGAGACTAACAGCATCCAAAGGAGGGAATGCGCCCAAAAGGGCATCCACTGCCAAGATGTTAACTACCTCGCCTGGTATACAGGAGGTCGTGGGTTCGACCCCGACCTTGACGCCTACTGTATATTTGGAGTTTGCGTCTGTCTCTCTCATCATCATCACGGTGGCTAGGAGATGTTAACTACCTCACCTGGTATACAGGAGGTCGTGGGTTCGACCCCGACCCTGACGCCTGCTGTAGATTTGGAGTTTGCGTGTTTCTCTCATCATCATCACGGTGGCTTGGAGGTGTTAACTACCTCGCCTGGTATACAGGAGGTCGTGGGTTTCATCCCGACACTGACACCGGTGTATTTGTAATTTGCATGTCTCTCTCTCTCTTCCCGTGATCAAGTGGATTCTTCTCCGGGTCCTCCGGTTTTAACCTCCACATTTAGAATCGGAATGCTGTTATAGTATTAGGCTACGATACATTTCCAAGTGATAAGCCACTTCGTTGAGCTATCATTGGAGGCTAGATCGCTTCTGAAAAAGAGGTGTAAAACATTTGTGCATCGTGTAGTTTATTAAATCATCTGGTGTGCAAGTGCGAGGTTGATTACACTGAAAGATGACGTGAGGATGACAAGGCTGTTTATTGATCCTGGCTGGAAATGGAATCCTGAATAAGCAAAGTAAGAACTGAAAATCTAGAAAAGAACTGCAAGCTCACATCTGTTTTGCTTGTTTCTCTCCTGTGACAGACCCCAACACCCGGGCACTATGCGTGACATGGAGGATCAGAATATTATGTATATTCCATCGGTGTGTTACGATCAGGTTTTGTATTTCATGGTCGCGTTAGATTTTTGAGAGGCCCTTGTTGGTAAGGCCCTGCGTTAGGTTAATCAATGTGGGTGGAACGAGTAATCGGGTCACGGTGATTTATAATCTTAAACTACACGCGGGGTTTGTGCGCTTCTGCTCTCTCTTGGCTTTCATGTCACAACTCGTCCAAAAATCACCCTTCCGAAACCCACCGGTTGGAAACTGTCATGAGGCCTAAAGTAACAAAAAAATAAAACGTTCAACATTTTATCTCCCCACCACCATCACCTCAACGTTCGGCTGCCCAAAACTGAACATTTACCTTTTTGGATGGTTCTAGTTACAACTACAGTACATGCACATGTAGCTGGTCTGCCCTGGCCCCTCTTGAACCCTTTAGATTATATAAAAACAGTACATATGTAGACTGTATAGAGTCGGCCGAATCACGGGGAATGCGCCCCAATCTACATCAGATCGCAGCAGACGCACGCGGTGATAGGAGCCTGAAGGGGGTTTGTTAAATCTATTGGACGGGTAACTAAAAACAACAACAAGTCAACAATAAACGGAGAGCGATGATGTCTCTCCCCGACGGAAAGAGGTCTTCGACAAACCAAACGCATTCGGCACGGAGCGAGTTACCTTGAGGTCGGTGTGAGCGACACGGGACGTCGTTCATCCAATCACAGGCAGTTACGATCACAACACTGCAGTAAAACAACAACAGCAACAACAACGATAATAAAGGATTGTAGTTTGGGGTTAAATCGCGTAAATGTAAAGGTGTGTCGTTCACTCACCACCACCCGACACAGCCAATTAGTGAGGTTTGTCACGTAAACGATAACGCGCAAATTAGTTTAGGACTTCAGCGCAACGGTTGTGTGTCAGAGAGTAAACCCCGCACCATTTACAATTTTAGTACTGCGACGTTTCGCTCGTGATTACAACAACAACAACAATCAGCCTAATCAGGCGATCTGCCACAAACGTGTAAACCACAGCAAGTGGCACCATGAGTGGCCGCTACAGAGAAACAGCAGACGTCCTTCATATTGTACGAATACACTTTTGACTTTTTTTTATACGCTTCGTTATTCTCTTTGTTCGTCGCATACCCGAGTGTGAACAAAAAATAAAAATGTTACTTGACCAAACCGCACGTGCGCGTGGAAGTGACTCGTTACGGCTCGCCATTAGGGGCCATCAATTTAGTAGGTACATTTAGTAGGTACATTTAGTAGGTACATTTAGTCGGTACATTTAGTAGGTACATTCAGTAGGTACATTTAGTAGGTACATTTAGTTGGTACATTTAGTAGGTACATTCAGTAGGTACATTTAGTAGGTACATTTAGTAAGTACATTTAGTAGGTACATTTAGTAGGTACATTTAGTAGGTACATTTAGTAGGTACATTCAGTAGGTACATTTAGTAGGTACATTTAGTAGGCACATTTAGTAGGTACATTTAGTAGGTACATTTAGTAGGCACATTTAGTAGGTACATTTAGTAGGTACATTCAGTCGGTACATTTAGTAGGTACATTTAGTAGGTACATTTAGTAGGTACATTCAGTAGGTACTTTTAGTAGGTACATTCAGTAGGTACATTTAGTAGGTACATTTAGTAGGTACATTTAGTAGGTACATTCAGTAGGCACATTTAGTAGGTACATTTAGTAGGTACATTTAGTAGGTACATTTAGTAGGCACATTTAGTAGGTACATTTAGTAGGTACATTTAGTAGGTACATTTAGTAGGTACATTCAGTAGGTACATTTAGTAGGCACATTTAGTAGGTACATTTAGTAGGCACATTTAGTAGGTACATTTAGTAGGTACATTTAGTAGGTACATTTAGTAGGCACATTTTTAGTAGGTACATTTAGTAGGTACATTTAGTAGGCACATTTAAGTAGGTACATTTAGTAGGCACTTTAGTAGGTACATTTAGTAGGTACATTTAGTAGGTACATTTAGTAGGTACATCAGTAGGTACTTTTAGTAGGTACATTCAGTAGTACATTTAGGTAGGTTAACATTTTAGTAGGTACATTTAGTAGGTACATTTACTGGCACATTTAGTAGGTACATTTAGTAGGTACATTCAGTAGGTACATTTAGTAGGTACATTTAGTAGGTACATTTAGTAGGTACATTTAGTAGGTACATTTAGTAGGTACATTTAGTAGGTACATTCAGTAGGTACTTTTAGTAGGTACATTCAGTAGGTACATTTAGTAGGTACATTTAGTAGGTACATTTAGTAGGTACATTCAGTAGGCACATTTAGTAGGTACATTTAGTAGGTACATTTAGTAGGTACATTTAGTAGGCACATTTAGTAGGTACATTTAGTAGGTACATTTAGTAGGTACATTTAGTAGGTACATTTAGTAGGTACATTTAGTAGGTACATTTAGTAGGCACATTTAGTAGGTACATTTAGTAGGTACATTTAGTAGGTACATTTAGTAGGCACATTTAGTAGGTACATTTAGTAGGCACATTTAGTAGGTACATTCAGTAGGCACATTTAGTAGGTACATTTAGTAGGTACATTTAGTAGGTACATTTAGTAGGTACATTTAGTAGGTACTTTTAGTAGGCACATTTAGTAGGTACATTCAGTAGGTACATTTAGTAGGTACATTTAGTAGGTACATTTAGTAGGCACATTTAGTAGGTACATTTAGTAGGCACATTTAGGAGATACATTTAGTAGGTACATTTAGTAGGTACATTTAGTAGGTACATTTAGTAGGTACATTTAGCAGGTATATTTAGTCGGTACATTTAGTAGGTACATTTAGTAGGTACATTTAGTAGGTACATTCAGTAGGCACATTTAGTAGGTACATTTAGTAGGCACATTTAGTAGGTACATTTAGTAGGCACATTTAGTAGGTACATTTAGTAGGTACATTTAGTAGGTACATTTAGTAGGCACATTCAGTAGGTACATTCAGTAGGCACATTTAGTAGGTACATTTAGTAGGCACATTTAGTAGGTACATTTAGTAGGCACATTTAGTAGGTACATTTAGTAGGTACATTCAGTAGGTACATTTAGTAGGTACATTTAGTAGGTACATTCAGTAGGCACATTTAGTAGGTACATTTAGTAGGTACATTTAGTAGGCACATTTAGTAGGTACATTTAGTAGGTACATTTAGTAGGTACATTCAGTAGGTACATTCAGTAGGTACATTTAGTAGGCACATTTAGTAGGTACATTTAGTAGGCACATTTAGGAGGTACATTTAGTAGGCACATTTAGGAGGTACATTTAGGAGGTACATTTAGTAGGTACATTTAGTAGGTACATTTAGTAGGTACATTTAGTAGGTACATTTAGTAGGCACATTTAGTAGGTACATTTAGTAGGTACATTTAGTAGGTACATTTAGTAGGCACATTTAGTAGGTACATTTAGTAGGTACATTTAGTAGGTACATTTAGTAGGCACATTTAGTAGGTACATTCAGTAGGCACATTTAGTAGGCACATTTAGTAGGTACATTTAGTAGGTACATTTAGTAGGTACATTTAGTAGGTACATTTAGTAGGTACTTTTAGTAGGCACATTTAGTAGGTACATTCAGTAGGTACATTTAGTAGGTACATTTAGTAGGTACATTTAGTAGGTACATTTAGTAGGCACATTTAGTAGGTACATTTAGTAGGCACATTTAGGAGATACATTTAGTAGGTACATTTAGTAGGTACATTTAGTAGGTACATTCAGTAGGTACATTTAGTAGGTACATTTAGCAGGTATATTTAGTCGGTACATTTAGTAGGTACATTTAGTAGGTACATTTAGTAGGTACATTCAGTAGGCACATTTAGTAGGTACATTTAGTAGGCACATTTAGTAGGTACATTTAGTAGGTACATTTAGTAGGTACATTTAGTAGGCACATTCAGTAGGTACATTCAGTAGGCACATTTAGTAGGTACATTTAGTAGGCACATTTAGTAGGTACATTTAGTAGGCACATTTAGTAGGTACATTTAGTAGGTACATTTAGTAGGTACATTTAGTAGGTACATTCAGTAGGCACATTTAGTAGGTACATTTAGTAGGTACATTTAGTAGGCACATTTAGTAGGTACATTTAGTAGGTACATTTAGTAGGTACATTTAGTAGGTACATTCAGTAGGTACATTCAGTAGGTACATTTAGTAGGCACATTTAGTAGGTACATTTAGTAGGCACATTTAGGAGGTACATTTAGTAGGCACATTTAGGAGGTACATTTAGTAGGTACATTTAGTAGGTACATTTAGTACGTACATTCAGTAGGTACATTTAGTAGGCACATTTAGTAGGTACATTTAGTAGGTACATTTAGTAGGTACATTTAGTAGGCACATTTAGGAGGTACATTTAGTCGGTACATTTAGTAGGTACATTTAGTAGGTACATTTAGTAGGTACATTTAGTAGGTACATTTAGTAGGTACATTTAGTAGGCACATTTAGGAGGTACATTTAGTCGGTACATTTAGTAGGTACATTTAGTAGGCACATTTAGTAGGCACATTTAGTAGGTACATTCAGTAGGTACATTCAGTAGGTACATTCAGTAGGTACATTTAGTAGGCACATTTAGGAGGTACATTTAGTAGGCACATTTAGGAGGTACATTTAGTAGGTACATTTAGTAGGTACATTTAGTACGTACATTCAGTAGGTACATTTAGTAGGCACATTTAGTAGGTACATTTAGTAGGTACATTTAGTAGGTACATTTAGTAGGCACATTTAGGAGGTACATTTAGTCGGTACATTTAGTAGGTACATTTAGTAGGTACATTTAGTAGGTACATTTAGTAGGTACATTTAGTAGGTACATTTAGTAGGCACATTTAGGAGGTACATTTAGTCGGTACATTTAGTAGGCACATTTAGTAGGCACATTTAGTAGGTACATTTAGTAGGCACATTTAGGAGGTACATTTAGTCGGTACATTTAGTAGGTATGTGGTGCCACGACCACGGAGCAACTCCGCAAATGCTGCAATCCCCTCCCGGCCCCCACGCTAAGCACACAACCCACACACAGCGCACCCACACTAAGCACACAACCCACACACAGCGCACCCACGTAGTAGTGTCCTGACGGGGGGTTGCCTGGCACATCGGGTTTTAATCCGAAGAGCCCCTAGAGGGAGAGTCTCACGGTTTCCCGGTGCCAGGAGATTGGCCGACCCTCACAGGACAGGTCACATTGCGGTGCCCCTAAATTGGCTGAAGATTTGTATGGGCGCAGAAGGAAAAGGTTCACTGGGCCAACCGCAATGAGTCACTCACGACACTGGGAGAGGCGGAGGGTGGAATATTAGGCCAGAAGAGCAGCAGCAGCCCCAGTAGCCCTCCATGTAGACGGCGCAGGTGAGCACGCGATTGGCTGCGCGGTACAATGCCACCCTGGGCCTTTGAAGTGAGGGGATTAGGCCACGGTAGAGACGGTGGAGGGGGACGATGACGGTGGGCACGGGTAAGCACCGGATTGTCTGCGCTGTATGACCGGCCTTTGAAGTTGAGAGAAGACAGATTGGTGCCCCGGGACAGTGAGGGCAGTTGTCTTCAACCTCCGGGTGATCCGGACCCCTCCCTGTCGTCGTGCCTCCTTGAGCCGCTCGCAGCATCCGTGCGATGCCCGCGAGTGCTGCTACGAGGCAGCGATAAGCGAGGGTTTCGCTCGTCCTTCTCCCTCCGACTCTCACAGCGTCCATGGGACGCCGTGAGTACAGCTACGAGGTACGTGGTACAGTTAGGCTAGGCTCTCCCCGCGAAATATCCCTCCTCCGGGTAATGCGTATTGGCGCCATTAATAAACTTTAGCACAGAGGATCCGTGTGGTGTGATTTCTGTGGGTGTGGGGAAAGTGTCGGCGTAGCGTGTAATTCGAGCGTGTGTGTGTGTGTGTGTGAGGCAGCACGGGTAGTAATTCATTAACGGCTCCCGTGTCCGGGGAGCTGCGTGATATCGCCCATGCGTGTTTACACAGCGCGTTTAACGCAGTGTGTTTACGTAGCGACAATCGCATTAACGGTGGGGGCGCGCTTACATTATTGTCAACCCGGCCGTCGTTTTGCCCGCGTGCCCGTGCCCGTGTGCTTGCACAGCCGATTAAAGCCGATCCCACGGGAGGGGGTAGGGGCGCGTGCTTAATCATACGGCTCTTTTTA